ACCAAAAGAAGGAAAATGATTTATTTTAAAAAAGGAAGGAAGGAAGGAAAGAAAGGAGGAAGGAAGGAACAAAGAAAGGAAAGGAGGAACGAGAGGAAGGAAAGAAGGAAGGAATGAAGAAACGAAAGAACGAAGGAGGGAAGGAACGAACGAACGAACGAACGAGTAAACGAACAAATGAAAGAAAGGAACAAACGAACAAACGAAGGAGCAAAGGAAGAAAATAAATGAAAGAAAAACGAAAAAAGCAAAGTAGGAAGGAAGGCAGAAATGAAGGAACGAAGGAACAAAGGAAGAAAATAAATGGAAAAAAAAAAGATAACAGCAAGAAAGGAAGGAAGGCAGAAAGAAAAAATATATAAATAACTACAAAGAAAATTTAAGTTGTAAGAGTAGCAAATTCTCTGCAGATGTCAATAACTATAAAACTTGAATATTTTTCCAGCTGTCATTTATACAATTTAATTACCATATTAATACAAAAACAAACAAAATTAATATGTGGGACATTGACAAAACCAGAGCAAGATATTTCTTTTCTAAGCAATAAAATTGTATATAAAAAACTCATGCCTTTAGTTTACATGCCATGCTGAACAAATAACCCAAATTTAGTAAACTGTCCTTAAATTAAAATTATAAGAAACACAAATCAACATTTAAATCAATTTTTTATAAATTCAAAATTATAAAAAAGGATAAAATTAAATAGACAATGTGAATTAATAATTGTGAAGTGCTTAATAAAATGTTTGACATTCCAGTAATCAAAAAAAAAAATTTGAAAATTATTTCTTGCATCTTACTGGGGATAACAATTGCTTAAATCTTCAGATAATTTTACAAATAATATTGAATAGACCCAATGAATGTGGTTTTTTTTTTTCTTTTAGTGAAGGAAAAAAAACTTGGTGATCTTTAAGGTGCAAACCATGCTTCTTTAAAATGATAATATTTGGAATTTTCTTGGTTCACAAACCCTTACATTTCTCTTCACTCCATGAAGCATATTTAGGAGCTGGTAATTTTCTTGGAGATGTTCTCCTAGGTGATGCTAGCTTTTTGGCTGATTGTTCCATTTCCTAGAGTATTGGTAAGCCATTTTGTGATTCACATGGTTAGTTATCAATGAACACACTACAGCTTCAGACAGAGCTGCTTCTTAGTTAAAATAATAACTTACATTTGGATCATACGGTTGAATAAACTTAGGATATCGCTGCATCTTCCAGGATTTCCAGTAAAAAGAACTCACTACATGTTTAGTATTAAATAAAATTTTAAAAAACAGAAAAAACTATGAATGTTCAATCTTAAAAACATTTGAAAAAATCTATTGCCTAGTGCCAAACCCATGCATTTTTCAGCATAAATTTAAATATAAATGAGGAAAAGATAATTGGTGATAACTGACTTCAACATTTTATCCAATCTCTTAGTTTTTCCTCTCAATGAAAAATGTCCTTATTATTTATTCACAGAATATTATTTCCAAACACAGACATAAGATATATATTTTTAATACTCCAAGAAAATTCTTGGTTTGTGGAGAGAATTTTCAAAATTCTAATTTAAAGAGTTGTGATGAATATTTAATTTGTCAGTTCACCTGGCAGTATGTAATAAGAATTAACGTGTCAACTTCAATTGACAAAAAAATATCAATACAGGAAATCCTGTAAAAAAGTAATGGCTTTAACTATAATCAAATTTTTGAGAGGGCAAAAGGTAGATATATAATGATGTTACTAGTGAAATTAACTGTTGATATGACTTCAATAGACATATATATTCAGAGCAGAAATATGATATTCTAATATGATTTGATGTTTTTCGAATAAAATCATCAAAAATTGACAGAGTAACAAAACGAAACATGACACAATGTAATGTTCTTGTGTTTACCTAATAAGAATACTTTCAACCAGACCTTGAATATCTAATGGCTACATATATATTGATAACTGGCCTAATATCTAATAAATATTAAGTATACATGCTACTATTTTATTCACTAAAAGTATTATAATTTTGAATAAAATATAGTTTGACTAAGAATTTCATAACAAAATATTAGTTGAAGAATAAATATTAATTTCTATTATTCTTAAATATTTAATTATTTGAGAAGCTAATATTAGTTAATTATTTTATCATTTTGATCATGTCAAGAGTAAATTTTTTCAACTAATTCATACTGTAATGCAATACAAGTTCTACACGCATTTATAATTACTCTCGTATTGTATGTATCTTTATTAGTAAAAAAACACAGGTGATTATTGAAAATCTCGCGCGCTGATTGGTCAAAAAAATCAGATTATCACAGGATAGTCACCTCCAGCAATAATTCAAAATGGGGGCCAAAATGTTGTTGTTACTGGAAAAAAATGTCTTTTATCTTTTTTTAACTTTTTTTTGAAAGAATCACCTGGGTATTTATACTAAAACAATTATTTGCCTCAGCCTCAGTGAATATCAGAGAATATTTACCTCGCAGCTCGAAGACTCGCCTCTCAGTAAATAATTGTTAAATGAGAGAGGTGTTTGTCAGACCTCTCATATAATGACCAGGGCTTGAAATAGGAAAAACATTGGCCTGCCACTGTTTTTTATTTTTGAACTATGAAACAAATATTGCCCTTCCATTTATTTTTATGGCATGCAACATAAAGTAGACAAGACTTCCGAGAAAATAAAATTACATGATTTTCAGACTCTTGGATAAATATTCTGAGCAGACATTTGTTCTGTCAGAGTACTAAAATCAAAAAAGTGACAATATATGTACACATGTTTATGCGTCTGCAAACTAAATGGAGGGTTTTACCACTGAGAGCTAAAGGAGGGACGCTCTTTTAATATTTATCATTAGTATAAATACACAGGTGATTATTGAAAATCTCGCGCACCGATTGGTCAAGAAACTTAGATTCAGCGAATAATTGTTAAATATTAATATTTTTTGATTGGAGAATTTATTTGTGAATGGGAACAATCAGTACCAGATTAAAGAAACAGTGAAAAACGATGCCCAGTAAATTTGGCCTGCAATTTTAATATCCATTTGGCAGTTCATAATTATTTTTGCCTGCCAAACCTTTAATTTGGCCTGGCATTTGGCCATTGGCAGGTCGCTATTTCAAGCCCTGAATAGCGTAGGTAACACTTGTGCCAGCCTAATATTTAAAAAATATTATTTAAAATTTTAAGCAATTTTTTAAATGTTTGATGAGGAAAGAATGTTTTATTGCTTGTGGCAAAAAAATTGTTGATGTCTTTTTAACTCATTCTTTATTTTGTGTTTCTTTAATGAATTTTAGTTAATGAATTTTTCAAAATGTCTTGTCCAGATGTCAAAAAAAACAGGCTTTTTCTAAATTGGACATTGTTATTAGCTCCTACTTGACCTTATCAATATTGGCTCTACCTCGAGCAATATTGGCTCTATCATAATCAATTTGAAATACAAAAAGAATTGAGAGAGTTGGTTGGCATGTGTTCACATTATTAACAATTAACCGAGATACGAGTCTTTGAGTGGCGGGGTAAAAATTCCAGCTATTTACTGAGCCTGAGATGAATAATTATTTTAAAATAATAAATAATGGAGAGAGTTTTTCAAATTTTATTAATCTCTGCAAGCAGCACAAATAAACAAATAAATTCACCTGTAGATGAATATAGCAGCAGTATAAGACTTAAAATTTGAACAGTGAGCTCGCTGGATTTATTATATTCACTTGTATAAAAATACTAATGATAATTATGCACTTCAATGCCCGTTAATTGTGCTTTTAAAATAAAAGCCACACACTGTTCTCGCAACTTCAGAAATAATATAAAGTTATGGATTTTAATATTAATCAAATTCTAATTTTATTAATTAATATTATTATCAAATGATTCGCTGATTAAAAATATTTTAGGTAAACATTTCATTATGAAAACTAGTGATAAAAATGAGCTCAACATTTCAATATTAACATGACATCATTTTCAAGCTCAAACTACATAATGGTATATCATAAAATAATGATGGATATATTGTTAAAAGCTAATAGTTCATTAGCTAATGAGAACCACAAACTAAGATGGAAACATCATCGAAACTATTTTTTTGGAATATACATTTCTCCATTTTGAGTAAGTGTAATTACAAACTAGTATACATAATTTACTAAATGGTCCTAATCAATGAACACTAACGTAATCTCAATGTACACTATTGGATTCCATCAAAGCAAAACTGTTTATCTGACAACAAAAGCTATTATCCACTTAAAAATAGCTTAAGAACTGTCCACATTAACATTCTGATATTCATGCACTTAAAAAGTGTTTGTAATATATGTTTATTTATACCATTTGATATAACTAGGCAACAACCAGAAACGATATATTTTAGATTTTGATCCATTACGGTAAATTTACCACAGTCTGGGCCACCTAAGTAATTTTTGAACCAGTGGATTACGAAAAAGTTCTCATAAGGTCACAGACAAAAAAAAACAGCTCTTATTATTGCTATCTTAATACACAGGGAATTTTATAAAAATATTCAAACAAGAATTTTTAAAACACAAATTATACCTATTTTTCTTATTAAATTGTATTCCTAAAAGTACCTTTAACAAATTAGTGACTCACAGTTATTGCATACCTACGAAGGCATTGACCATGTCAATGATTATTAATGATACGTATAAAATATTTGATCAAATAATTAAAATGCATTTAATATCAACTGGTAATAACCTAATAGCACACATCAAGCACAATAATTACCATATCAATAAAAATGCTATTTTTAGGTAAGAATTGGTTCTTGTAGCCCTGATTTTGTACCATTACAAAATTATAAAATTATGTTATTCAGAAGAAAGTTATCATTCTTTAGACATGACTAAACCAACAACAAAAGAATGCCAATATGATGTGATATACATGTATATGCTAATATATTGACTATGACAATTTCAGATATTTCCTCCTACGGTCAAAAGAATTTTGTGGTAAATTTTTCATAAGAAAAAAAAAATTTTTTCAAGTCACAATAGTGGAATTGAACTAAAAACTATATAATTACAATTTTTCAAAAAAGGTTTGATTTGAATTTGAAATATTTTGAATTAGTGATGAGATCATTAATAATACTGTCAGTTGCTTCTTTTATTAAGATTACTGCAAATGCAAAACTAAGCTCAGTAATGTTTCTGTAGTTTTGTTCTTATGCTAATAACATTTCGTGTCCAGCTCTATGATAAAAGCTAGAACTAACCCAATGGGAGTGGCTGTAATCTACAAAGCACAGACAATACAAGAAAAGAGATATGACAGTGTTTATACTGTATATCAGACATATTGACTAACACCACAAGAATATCCGATACACACAAAGTAACACGCTTTTAGATATGTTGTTAATGACTAAAGACACAGAGATGTGGTGAATAATCCATAAATTTAGCCAGATTACCATATTTAGTCATAATCTCAACCTAAAATGGACAAAAACATGGTGAATATAAATGTCAGAGATGGCTAGGGAAATGGTTTAAATTTCATCAATGGAAGTTGACCTTTCAGTGAAATGTCAATCTATGAGATCCAAAAATAAACCAAGTTACTCACAAACCTTAGATGATTGTAAAATATAAAACCCTCATGATTTAGAAACTTATTTTATAGACTCTTCCTAGGAGTTCAGTCTAGATGCATAAGCAAGCTGTTGTGAACCATAGTTTGAATCTCAAATTTATAATCAACAAAAGAAAACTAACTTTAAAACAAAACTAATTTGAATAGCACTTATCATTAAACTCTTAGATTTTCTCTTTGGAGTACAGTCTAACTAAAGAGTACAAGCATGACTTAACAAGTATATATACTATGCATGTTAGTACATATACTGTAAGACAGTTAATCTACCTTTTCACGCTTTGATTATTACTTGGCAAGCCCAGGAACTTAGCCTTTTTAAAAGAGTACGATTACACAAACACAGCCAACCTAAATGTGAAAGTCAGTGCTAAACGCATTACTGTCTAGAGGACAATTTTTTTGAGATGATGTCACATCAGTGGCAAATATTTTCATCTAAACAAAAATCAGACATTTGTGAATATTGAAATGAGTTGTATAGGACTAATGTTTTGAATAAATATTAATGGTAATAATTACAGAACACTTCAAAGATGGTTCAAACATATTTATAATTCCAGCCTCTATGAATATATATTCAACTTTTAAATTTTACGTTGTTAGGTATTAAATAATTACATATTTTAGTTCAAAAAGATAAGAGAGTAAGTTATGGAAAACTAATCTCAAGTCCACAAGTTAGCATAAATCATATTGACAATCAATTAGTATGTTCTGTTTTTGGAAAATTATGCAAATACTACATAAAACAAACGCTTAAAAATCAAACGCCAAATCAGCCTTCGTTTTGCTGTCATTGATCACGAAGTTATATATGTTTWTTTGAAAAGTTGACTAAAATAACTTCCATTGGAAGCCATAAATTTGCTCAGATCTAGCTTAGTCAAGAAATATTCAATTCCAGTATTAAACCAGATTATCCTATTAAAAGTATGAAGGTTAAAAGGAATAATAAAAATGACTTTCCAAGTTTTGAAAGTGTCCGAAAGTAAACACCGTGTTATATTTGCAGACATGTTGGACAAGTTGTATTCAAACTGAAAACGGTAGCTAATTATAATCCCAATATACGATGAGAAAAACACTAAAATATTTACTAGCGGAACGTGGAGAATTAAATCTGACTTCACACACTAGCAACCCTGTTTAGAGCTTGAAGAATGTGTAATCTAAAATATAATATTTTAAAAGTAGGAGTAGACGAAAAATTTCACGCGCAATTTGACTCACCTCGACCTGGCGAACTAAGCCAACAACACCAAGCTAAACAACCCTAAATGGTAAGAATTTTCAAGTCACGACCATCTGTGGTCCAAGCTGTTGGACAAGAGTAATTGATTGTTGGGTTTTTGATTTAAGAAAGGCCTTCTTTGAACAAGAACTCGTCGGACATCTTAAATAAATAGTTCGCGGGTCACTGCGGCTCCATTTATTTATGAACAATATGTGACGTCATAAAGTGAGCCCGTAGGAGGTACATATCAGCGGTAACTGTATGAGTAAGGTCACTTGAGCTCTGGAAGAGCCATGTACTTTTACTCAAAATCAATGGGAAAACATTTGAATCTTACGGCACGTCGTATCGTGTACGTGCAGTTTGAGACAGTACCGTACGGAAACCGCTATAATGATTCCCCCCTTATTTTACTTTATTTTTAAGGGGCGGATATCGAGGGAGTGCATGTGGTTCCAGAGTTGCCGCAACGCCCGCTATTGGGAATTTTATTGCCAAAGTTTAGCTACGATAGCCGTACGTTCCAATTAAACCTTAGGTTGTATAAACGATTGTAAAACTACAGCTTATTTTATCATTTGAAATGGTATGACGCCATTGATATTAGCGACTTCTGTCTATCGTATAGCAAAGACGACTTCTCTTATTATCAATTTTTATTTTTCTAAAGAAATAAACTTTATGATTTTGATCATTTTACTGAAACTGCTACGTTCCTAAAACAATGCATATATGGCAGTCAAGTGGGGGAGAGGCTAGTAATGCCGGGGTGGGTCAGAGGGTCACGTCATCAGAAGCCGTTCTCTTTGACGACTCCTTTTCATATTATTTAGTATTCCCTTTTAAAAATCATGGTGACCCACCCTTTTTTCAAAAAAGATTTATTCATCTGTTCAATTAATTTCAATGAATCACACCAAAGGCAAAAAGTGTAGTATAGCCATGACTCACATTATGCCGCCCTTTTAAAGTTAAGATTGTTATTCAATTCTGAGGGGTGTGGCTTTAAAACCGATGGAACCATTTAATAATATCATCTCTCAGACAAATCTAATCCACCTGAATTGCATATCCTATTTCGCTCGAGGTCGTGTATTTATCATAGGGGATTTTCTCCTTAAACAGATGCCATGAAAAAATTCGTCTATCGATACTGGCATTTGACCATTATTATCTAAAAGCACTTAATGAGTACTACTTATGTTCCAGGATGTTTTTTTTTTTTCGGGCGTAGCACGTAATAGCCAGCAGTGAACCTTTGTTCCATGAATTATTTGGAATTTAGAGGTTTATTTTTACCGGAAGAAACGCCAGCCGAAGACACCAACAAGCAACCGCTGTTCGTATGAGAACGCACATAGTGAATGTTAGGCGACGCATGCGCAGCGCAGACCACCCGCGCTTGCGCCTCCATTCAATCTCGTATCCGCAGGCTCTGGGTACGAGATTGGCCTCCATTCTATAGTTGATATCTATAGCGCAGATTTGGCAAGATTGATTGCTGAGATTTTTTGTTAAAAGTACGAAACCGTGTCTTTCTTTCGTGAAGCTGTACGCGGATCCCTTCGATAAATAAGCGAATCATACATTTGCATCGCTATTCCTTCCAGCCTCAGGTAATTGCCCTAATTCACTATGACGTCACTGTTTGTTTATGTGGGGGACAGAATCGCCAATTCCAATAGGAAATTCAACAAAATTTGCTCCTAACGAAACAGTTTAATCTAAAATGGCCTGGTTTTCAGATATAATATGTGTTAATATGTWCTAAAAAATATTCTGAGCGTTTGCTGGCTATTCTACTTCTCTTCGTGGATTGATACGGGTTTTTGAACAATTTTCGGTGAATTTGCGTTGATTTGACCCCCTCCGATGACCATGATCCTTTCCCTTTAAACAATAGATTGTTGAAGATTGCTTTGATGTGACGTCATAGTGAATTAGGGCAATTACAGCAACTGATTTGGGTTTCAAATTCAATCAAAAAGCAATTGACCTCCTCGGCTTGGTCGTAATGTTTTCCCAATCCAGACCAGCTGTCATTCTCGTGTTGGAGTGGTATCCATATTTATGTGTCTTCTCATGTGGATACTCTAGGGAATGGCACGTGGTCTGAAATGGGACAACATTACGCTCGAGCCSAAGAGGTCTATTGATGCAATTCGTATAAATTCAGTTTAGGCCATGTTTGGCAACTAGGGTTATGTTTTTGACTCATGTTTTTGAACATGGCTTTGTCAGACATGTGAACATTATTCGCCATTTTCACATTCCCCATATTGCTCTGGTTTTTGTGGATAACCGGTTAAAAATCTGCTATAAAATTAAATGCTCTTCGATTGAATGTTCGCAGATAATACCTGCTTTTACCTGTAAAGTAATGGGGTGCTTACCATATATTCACGAAAAACCGGAAATTCCGGTTTTCGGTTCTTTCCGGGGTAGACGCGTGTACACCATTTTCGAAAGTCAAAGTTGCCCGCGCTCTTTTCTTACCACTAGTGAATAAATTTCCAACCGGATGGATTGGCTTAAATGGGAAGCACCTAATAAAAATCTTTAATTGGAGATTTAACTTAGTTCGCATTGCGAGTTAAATTCCCAATTAACGCTTTTTCTTTTGTCTTGGAACTTGAAATGAGAAAAGGGGTTTTTATTTCTTTTAAATAAAACCCCCTTTTCTCCTTTCCAGTTCCAAGACAAAAGAAACAGCGTTAATTGGGAATTTAACTCATAATGCGAACTAAGTTAAACTCCAATTAAAGATTTAAAAGGACTGTTGTCATACTGTTGAATCTTATCCATAAAAACCACACGAATCAAACCGAATGCGATCAATTCATCCCTGTCACTTCAGTCTTATGTGCCTGTCAGATTGAACTTTTTTTTCTGCAGCTAATGGTGCCCTTTTCTGCATGAGCATTATTTCGTGTTAAAAAACTGTATTCAATAAAGTCTAATCAAAGAATTTGTTTGGCATTTTTTCAGAGGCACTATCATTGGGATATGTTTAGCGCGTAACTTCAGTTTGTTAATCTCCCTCTCCCCTACCAATTCAAAATCACTCTAAGACCCCTCTAACCCCTTCCTTCGATCTCAGCCACCACCACCACCAAGCTGCGTAGGCACAAGCAGGCAAAAAAAAAAACATCACTGACTGGGCCTCCTGTGGTGTGCACTATTGCGTACGATATAGACTCTGGGAATACTCCAAAATTGTTTTCAAACACAAAATGTAGTGCTCCATGCATCTTAACTAGCCCCTCTACCCCCATCCCCTCCCCCCTCCTCAGAGCAATCCTTTATTGCGTGTTCGTCGACTGGGTTTCCTGTGGTGTGCACTCTTCCGTACGCTATGAACCCTGGGAATGCGCTCAGCTTCTTTGGTCCAAAGCATGTACAAGATGTAGTGTTCCATCTATTTTGACTTCAAAAATAAATTCAAAAGGAATATATATTTTTAAAAAAGATTATATAGTTGATTCAATTAACAATGGCTCCTCCAAAAAGTCGTAAAATTGCCGTGATGGGATTCCGTTCAGTTGGTAAGTATTAACTTCTCGTGGACTTCAAATATACAGCGATAAACATGATGCCCGGGACATGATGATGATTCGATCTCGGAAAAAGTCTTTTGTTTTATCGTTTTTTGCTCTTTTTCATGACAGGAAAGTCTTCTTTAACGATTCAGTACGTAGAGGGACAGTTTGTAGACTCGTATGACCCGACAATTGAAAACAGTAAGGCAGTTTATGACAAATTATTTCGTCTTGTTAATTTAGCAAGTTTACCCTCATCAAAAGCTTAGGGACCAATCGTTTATTACGTCCCAGGGGGGGGGGGGGGGGGGG